AACAGAGGATCCTCTACCCCGACCTGGCCACAGTGATCCATGCGATGGTCACCTCCTGGCTTGACTACTGTAATTCGCTCTACGCGGGGCTGCCCTTGAAGCTGTTCCAGAAACTCCAGTGGGTGCAGAATGCTGCAGCGAGGCTCCTCACAGGGACTCTGCCATGGGAGCATATTCACCCAGTGCTTTCCCAGCTGCATTGGCTCCCGGTGGAGTACAGGGTCAGATTTAAGGTGCTGGTTTAAAGCCCTTCACAGCCTAGGTCCCTCGTACCTACGGGACCGCCTCTCCCAGTATGCCCCACGGAGGACCTTCAGGTCCATATATAGCAACACCCTAGAGGTCCCGGGCCCTAAGGAAGTTAGATTAGCCTCAACCAGAGCCAGGGCCTTTTCAACACTGGCTCCGGCCTGGTGGAACGCTCTGTCTCACGTGACCAGGGCCCTGCAGGATCTGATCTCTTTCTGCAGGGCTTGTAAGACAGAGTTGTTCCACCTGGCCTTTGGCTCAGAATCAGTTTGATTCCCTCCCTCCCTTTCTTTTTCCTTTCTCCTCCTATGAAGAGATTGCACCCTAATGTTTTAATGTTGTATCGTAATCTTTTAAATTGTATTTTAATCAACTTGTTTTTATTATTGGTTGTTAGCCGCCCTGAGCCCGGTCTTGGCTGGGGAGGGCGGGGTATAAATAAAAATTTATTATTATCAGTACATAACACTCACCAACTTTTGGGGTGTCCTGGTTTCTACTTTTTGAAAGATGGCATCTACTTTTTGAAAGATGGCATCTACTTTTTGAAATATGTGCAATGGGAGAGGCCTGACTGGAAAGCTTAAAGCCTGTTGCTGCTACACAGGAAGCGGATGGATGAAAAGAAAATATGAACTGGCCTGTAGCTTGACCAATCACTGGGAAGAGTGGCAAGGAGCTAGGTGGAGTCACAGATCCTTTAAAAAAAGTGTAGACTTGCACACACTGGCCAGCTTCCATTTTGACTTGAAATGTTCATTTTGGGCTTCTCAAAATCTACATAAAGGCAAGTATGTAAAAGCAAGAAGGGGGGGGCCTGCAATGGTGCCCACCTGAGAGGTGCGCCAGAACTGCGCTCTGTTAATTTATATGAATATTTATAGACTGTCATAAAAATATATCAAAGCGGTTTACAGCTATGAAACGTAAATCCGTACAAGAAAAACCACAAAAAGTTGAAAGCAGACATTGATTAACCATGGTGGAAGGATGTATTCTTAATTGCCGGCTTTCTTATAGTCTCATCTCTTTTATACACAATTGATCACTGCACTCATCTCCTCAGAAGGTTCCTTCCATATGGTGTGGAAATCAGGCCTCTGCAGATCCCTCTGAACCCTTTTATCCCAACTCGATCCCTGAGATCATGTGCAAGAGCATCACTGGTCATTCCGCGAGTCGGTGAGGCTCATTTGACAATAACAAGAAATCAAGACTTACTACCATCATCCCTGTATTGTGGAATACTCTGCTAGCTGGTTTTCAACAGGCACCCTCTGTTCCAACTTTTAAATACAGTACCTGCCTCAAACTTTTCAGTTCTGTCAGCGTTATGCAAGCAATTAAGAACAGATCTTAATAGTTAGCTGATTTCTGGTTTCAGCTTTTCACGTGGCTTTTATTGCATGGTTTTATGTACAATTGTTGTTAACCTCTCTCATTTTTTTATGAACAGCAATATAATTTTTTTTTTTATAAAGAATACACTGAGTAAATGTAATAGATGTCACCACATGAGCTCATTGGAAGCCCCCAACAGAGCAAAACTTGGGGTAGATTTGCAGAGCCAGAATAAGTAGCCAAATGTTGCCACACTCTGAGAAATCAGCTTGTTAGGGTTGCCATCTGACTGAAGAATTCGTCATTGACTGGTGGCCTTGTGGAGTGGTAAAAGTATTCTGGGAAATGATATATAATGAGTTAAAGGAAATGTTTATTCAACTTTATTGAAAAACCAGAAGCCTTTTTGTTAGGTATACAGTGGTACCTCAGGTTACATACGCTTCAGGTTACATACGCTTCAGGTTACACGCTCCGCTAACCCAGAAATAGTGCTTCAAGTTAAGAACTTTGCTTCAGGATAAGAACAGAAATTGTGCTCCGGCAGTGCGGCGGCAGCAGGAGGCCCCAATAGCTAAAGTGGTGCTTCAGGTTAAGAACAGTTTCAGGTTAAGAACGGACCTCCAGAACGAATTAAGTACTTAACCCGAGGTACCACTGTAATAGGTGAAGAGATACCAAAAGAAGACAAGAGACTGTTCATGTACGGAACGACGACAGCGAGAATGCTTCTAGATGTCAGGAACCAGATTGAAGGTTATTGCTCTGAGGAAAAATGGTGGGAGCCCCCCCCTCTCCATCTGAACAAGGGCCTGATCCTGAAGCTCCTCTGGAGCAGGAGGATAGTATCGACCTAGAGCAATGGTTCGAGGAAGGACACAGTTTGGAAAGTGACAGCTGGGCGAAGAGCAATCGAAGGGAGAGGAATGGGAAGAGAGAGAGCTGGTTGGATCTCCCTCACCAGAAAGTGTGCAGTGCATGAGTCCTAGAGCCAGGAGTCTGGATAGGGTAGCCTCTCAGAAGGCTCAGTGGTGGAGGGATCACGTGGTGAGGAGACGGGAAGACGGAAGTGTGGGATGTAAGAATCAGGTGCAGTCAAACACAACATTGCTAGATTAGACATGAAGGTTGTCTCAGTCCTCCAGCCAGAACTTCCTGCTTGCCAGGACTGAGATGAAACTTCCTATGTGTAGTTTGAGATGGGCATGGCCTCTCTCCTGAAGTAGAAAGAACCACAGGCTGGTGACCATCTTGTCTCTCTTGTCTCTATCAATGCTATCTTAACAACAGCACTACTAAGATGCACCCTTGGCTCCAGGCCAAGAGAAGAAAAGGGGGTCTTTTCCCCATAAGGAGATATTCACCACATTTAAACTATGTTCTAACCTTTTAAGTCTGCCTTCTGGGAACCTTTGTGTGAGCAGAAGATTACTTGTGAGTAAACGTTTTATACTCTACAGAAGACTGCGTAGCGTCTTATTTTAGGAAGGATTAACGGGGGAAATACAAGGAAATATTTACAGAGACTCTGATGAGTCTGAGCATGCTATCTGCTGTGCGTGTGTTTTAAAAAGGGGGAATGTTAACTCTGCTGATTTTGTTGAACTTTTAAAGACAAGTTGGGACAGGATATCTTAGACAATATATACAGGAAGTAACTAGAGCAAAGTGGGAGGAACTCAACTGGGAGTACCTGCATGATGAGAACAGACGCTGAATGTTTGTGCTGTGTTCAATAAACCTCTCTGTTGCTGCCAAAAGAAGAAGAAGAAGAGTTTGGATTTGATATCCCACTTTATCACTACCCTAAGGAGTCTCAAAGCAGCTAACCATCTCCTTTCCCTTCCTCCCCCACAACAAACACTCTGTGAGGTGAGTGAGGCTGAGAGACTTCAGAGAAGTGTGACTGGCCCAAGGTCACCCAGCAGCTGCATGTGGAGGAGCGGGGAAGCAAACCCGGTTCACCAGATTATGGGTCTACCGCTCTTTAACCACTACACCACACTGGCTCTCAGACTGCTTTCACTTTGTGCTGTTATCTACAGAGAGGGGAAAGGTAAGCCCTGCCTGGCAGCCTGACGCTAGCCCAGAGATGGAAGGAGGGAGAAGTGCCAACCAGAGAAGAATGGCATATGGAATATGCAGAGATGGCAAGACTGATGGGAAAGATCAGAAACCAGGAAGTTCAACTCTTTCTAAAAGGCTGGAACAATTTTTCAGCATACGTAAAAGACCACTGTAAACAGTTAAAATCATTGGCAGGGATACAATGACACTTGTAGTGTGAAATGAAGTTTGGAAACTGAATATATAACAGACAGATAAGGGTAAAAGATGCAGAAAATATATATATATTTTCTTAGAAAATTGAACCTATGGAGGGAGGGATGGAAGTCCGAAGGTTCGAAAGTAACTTTTCATTTTAATGCTTTGAAATGGTTACAGTTAAATTGTATGAAATTATGCGCAACCGTTAAAAAAATTATAAAAACAGAATTCTTCATTGACTAATCACCTGCCTTTTTGATCAAGTAAACATATTTGCATATAACCAAAGCCTCTGTAGAATCAGTTGCCTTGTTTGCAATTATAGAAAGAAGCGGGAGATACCCTATAATTTAACCGGCAAAATGCTGCCTCTTGAAGCTGGAATGAAAGGTCACCGTTTAATATTTTCCATTGCTTTTTAAAGCATTGTGCTTAAACTACATATATAAAAAATCACAGCAAACATGACTCAAAAGTGTACATAGGGCACTGTTCAGGGAGGACAGACGGTAGCTAGAGACTCAAGACGTGGGAGAGGAGGATTCAAATCCCTACTCAGCCAAGAAGCTCGTCACGTGACCTTGGGCCTAATCTACTTCACAGGGTTGCTGTGAGGATAAAACAGCGAGAAAGAGAACTTTGTATGCCACCTCAAGCTCCCTGGTGAGATATATATGCAATAAATAAATAAATAAATAAATAAATAAATAAAATTCCATTCTAAGACAGGGGTCTGCAACCTTTAAGACAAAAAGAGCCACTTGGACCCGTTTCTGAAGAAAAAAAACCTGGGAGCCGCAAAACCATTGCGACATTTAGAACAAATATAACACTGCATATATTGTTTCTTACCTTAATGTCCGATCTGACAGCGGGCGGGAAGGTGACGTCGGGACGGTGCGTGACTAATGCACGCACTGCCCCCATGTGACGTCACAGCCAGTACAGCGCCCACCACAGTGGGGAGTGTCGGGGCGCACAATGCGCCTCCTCCCCTCGCTAGTATCCGCCCCGGAGCCGCGGCAAAGGTGTAAAAGAGCCACATGCGGCTCCGGAGCCGCGGGTTGCAGACCCCTGTTCTAAGAGGAAGGGCATCAGATTAAGACCCACAGCCAGGGATCTGTCCTGCGGCGAATACTTACAGCTGTCTTCTTCTTCTGTGAAAACACTGACAACGTAACAGGCATAGACGAAGCCCACCAGCTGGAAGAAGAAAAGATAAAAGGAATCATAATCATAATATTTGCTCCAAGACTAGTGATAACATAAAGGAATATACGCTCTGTACGCACAGAACAAACAACAGTCAAAACTGTATAGAAAGAGTGGAACTATTTTTATAGAGAGTCTGGTTGGATCAGGCAAATAGCCTACCCAGTTCAGCATCGTATTGTCACAGGAGCCAACCAGATGCTTATGCAAAGCTCACAAGCAAAATCTGAGTGCAAACACACACTCTCCCCTCCTGCAGTTTTCAGTGACTGCTATTCAGAAATGTGCTGCCTTAGACAGTGGAGGTAGAATGTAACTATCATGGCTAGAAGTCATTGATAACAATATGGCCCATGGATTTGTCTAGTCCGCTCTACGTGGGGCTACCTTTGAAGGTGACTCAGAAACTGCAGTTAATCCAGAATGCGGCAGCTAGACTGGTGACCGGGAGTGGCCGCTGATACCGTATAATGCCAGTCCTGAAAGACCTACATTGGCTCCCAGTACGTTTCCGAGCACAATTCAAAGTGTTGGTGCTGACCTTGAAAGCCCTAAACAGCCTCGGTCCTGTATACCTGAAGGAGCATCTCCACCCCCATCGCTCAGCCCGGACACTGAGGTCCAGCGCTGAGGGCCTTCTGGCTGTTTCCTTACTGTGAGAAGCCAAATTACAGGGAACCAGGCAGAGGGCCTTCTTGGTAGTGGCACCCGCCCTGTGGAACGCCCTCCCAGATGTCAAGGCAATAAACAACTATTTTAGTTTTAAAAGACAACTGAAGGCGGCCCTGTTTAGGGAAGTTTTTAATGTCTGGGTGCTGTTTTGTTTTTAATATTCAGTTGGAAGCCGCCCAGAGTGGCTGGGGAAACCAGCCAGATGGGTGGGGTATAAATAATAAATTATTATTATATTATTAATCTTTTAAAGCTATTCAGGTTGGTGGCCCTCACTACATCTCGAGGGTCTGAACTTGAGGGTATTTGTGGTGTGAAGAATTTATTCTTCTTCTAGTCTGTCATGAATCTTTCTACATTCAACTTCACTGGGTAGCCCTGAGCTCCAGAATAACACGAGAGGGAGAAAAGCTTTGATTATAGCTTATTTTTTATTTTAACATTTTGCTTTGGGGCTCCTTTGGCTAACTAGTTATTGCTATTGTTAGGCAACTGGGAGGAGCGCAGAAAGAAGAAATGCCATGGTGCATCAGCTCAACCGGATGCCTTCATCTGCCCCAGCTGCAACAAAACATGTCTCTCCCGTATCGGTCTCTACAATCACAGCAGGCACTGTAATTCTCCAACAATTTGACTTCACCGCCAAGGGTGCTCTCCGTCATTGTCTCCTGACAATAGAAACCTTTGCCAGTCTGCTACAGATCACCCAGAGATCAGCCAGCAGATTCTGATCCACCTTCTACTTACCCAAGTCGTATAACATAAAATTGTAGGATTGTAGAGTTGGAAGGGATCCCGAGGGTCATCTAGTCCAACCCCCTGCAATGCAGGAATCTCAGCTGAAGAATCCATGACAGATGGCCATCCGACCACTGCTTAAAAACCTCCAAGGAAGGAGAGCCCACAACTCCCCAAGGGAAACCGTTCCACTGTTGAACAGCTCTTACTGTCAGAAAGATATTCCTGATGTTTTGTCGGAATCTCCTTTCTTGTAACTCGAAGCTGTTTTGAATTCCAATTCTGCATTAGCTACCCCTCCTGGTTTGGTGCCATCTGCAAATTTGATGAGCATCCCCTCAATTCCTTCCTCCAAAGACATTTATAAACGGCCTCGGCCCAGTATATCTGAAGGAGTGTCTCCACCCCCATTGTTCTGCCCGGACGCTGAGGTCCAGCGCCGAGGGCCTTCCGGCGGTTCTCTCATTGCGAGAAGCCAAGTTACAGGGAACCAGGCAGAGGGCCTTCTCGGTAGTGGCACCCGCCCTGTGGAACGCCCTCCCAACAGATGTCAAAGAGATAAACAACTACCTGAGATTCAGAAGACATCTGAATGCAGCCCTGTTCAGGGAAGTTTTTAATGTGTGACATTTTAATGTATTTTTAATCTTTGTTGGAAGCCGCCCAGAGTGGCTGGGGAAACCCAGCCAGATGGGCGGGGTACAAATAAATTATTATTATTATTATTATTATTATTATTATTATTATTATTATTATTATTTTGTTGTTGTTGTTGTTGTTGTTGTTGTTGTTGTTGTTGTTGTTGTTGTTGTTGTCGAACAACAACAAGCCCAGGACAGAACCCTGTGGCACCCCACTTGTCACTTATTTTCCAGGATGTTAAAGAACTATTAATGAGTACTTTTTGGGTTCGGTCAGTCAGCCAGCTACAAATCCACCTAACAGTTACCTTGTTCAACCCCCATTTTACCAGCTTCCTTGCAAGAGGATCATGGGGGACTTTTTCAGTAAGACTTTGCCTTACTGAAATCAAGATACACTATGTATTCCCTTCATCCACCAAGCTTGTAATTCCATCAAAAGACAGATATGAGCTTCATCTGGCATTGCTTGTTTTTGAGAAACTCATGCTAGATCTAAGAGCTCACAGACCAACTGTTGAGTTATCTGTTTTAAGACCTTTCCTGGTATCAATGTCACGCTCACCAGCTGGTACATACCTGGGTCCCCCCCCTTTTTTGAAGTGAATGTGGAAAGAGGAAGGAAGGAACAGTGCAATCAATGTTCTGAATTCTACAGCTCATATAGGTAAAGGTAAAGGGACCCCTGACCATTAGGTCCAGTCGTGACCGACTCTGGGGTTGCGGTGCTCATCTCGCTTTATTGGCTGAGGGAGCTGGCATACAGCTTCCGGGTCATGTGGTCAGCATGACTAAGCCGCTTCTGGCGAACCAGAGCAGCACACGGAAACACCATTTACCTTCCCGCCAGAGCGGTACCTATTTATCTACTTGCACTTTGACGTGCTTTCGAACTGCTAGGTTGGCAGGAGCTGGGACCGAGCAACGGGAGCTCACCCCATCGCGGGGATTCGAACCGCCAACCTTCTGATCGGCAAGTCCTAGGCTCTGTGGTTTAACCCACAGCGCCACCCGCATCCCTTGTACAGCTCGTATAAATGGGGGGAATTGAGCACATTTGCTCTTATTTTGCATAATTTACAATGCATTGTGTGGGTTGTATCAAACTAAGTTATACTCAGAGTATAACTACCAGACCAAAGTTAGTCAAGCTCATAAATCTGAATGGGTCAGTTTGAGTAAGACTAATATTGGATGCAACCCTATAGATTTTACATAGACACCTAAGAAGTGGTCTTATGTCAGGACAGATGGTTTGTTCATCTAGTTCGGAACTGTTAACTCTCGCAGCAGCCTACCAGGCCAACTTTCTCATCAGTTGGTACTTTGGGAGAAGAACCGTAGGTCCATGGGAAAGTCCCAGGCATCTTCACTAAGGCTGGGAATATCCATTGACTGAAACCCTGGAGAGCTACTGCCTGTCTGTGTAGACAATAAAGAGCCAGATGGACCAATGGTCTGACTTGATATAAGACGGTTTCCTATGTTGTTGTTTAGTTGTTTAGTCGTGTCTGACTCTTCGTGACCCCATGGACCAGAGCATGCCAGGCACTCCTGTCTTCCACTGCCTCCCGCACTTTGGTCAGACTCATGCTGGTAGCTTCGAGAACACTGTCCAACCATCTCGTCCTCTGTCGTCCCCTTCTCCTTGTGCCCTCCATCTTTTCCAACATCAGGGTCTTTTCCAGGGAGTCTTCTCTTCTCATGAGGTGGCCAAAGTCTTGGAGCCTCAGCTTTATGATCTGTCCTTCTAGTGAGCACTCGGGGCTGATTTCCTTAAGAATGGATAGGTTTGATCTTCTTGCAGTCCATGAGACTCTCAAGAGTCTCCTCCAGCACCATAATTCAAAAGCATCAATTCTTCGGCGATCAGCCTTCTTTCTGGTCCAGCTCTCACTTCCATACATCACTACTGGGAAAACCATAGCTTTAACTATACGGACCTTTCTTGGCAAGGTGATGTCTCTGCTTTTTCCTACATTTCCCAAATCCTTTGAGTTGGAGATTTCAGGAGTTGAGCCTGGGACCTTTTGCAATACAAAACTCAGACTTCATCGTGGTTCCTCCATAATTTATCCTGGTTTTGACTAGCCTTCTCAGTGAGCCACCTTCTGAATGTTTGCAGACGCTGCCCAAGCTTTTCAAGCTTATATTTTGCAGAAGCTTGCTTTGTAAAAGAATAAGATGTTGACATTCCCAGGATGCTGAATTCCTGCCCAATGCCATTGTCTCTTCCCGAACCCTACAATCACCTGCCATCGTTCAATAGAATCCATTTTGCTCCTTCTGTCAGGCACAAAAGCAAATTCCAACCTTTCCAAAGAATGGGCGCCTTCACCCGCATATATTGTTGGCTTGAACTTCCTGGTGTCCATCAGACCAAGGAGAATAAAGTGAGCATTCCGTCATCCTTGCAACTCTTAATAAGATGCTCAGGAGATTCAGAGTTGGTGAGGCAGCTTTTTTTTGCAAAACAATGTAAAACATTACTCAACCTCTCCAGAGCGGGGCTTTCAGAAGAGACCTGCCAAACCCAAATGCATTCCATAATCCCTCCCACGGAAACCTCATTATCCTGCCTTTTGTTCAGCGGTGTGATGTATGTTGCTCTTGTATTAAAAATGAATGACTCCACTTTCCAGAGTCCCCTCATACATCATTCTACCTTCCTGCGGTGTGAGTAATTGTTTGGTCCTAATTCCTCGTTAAAGTGGATTGAGTTCACAGTGGAAAACAAATAATTAAGGCCTACAATAACCTTAAAAATGAGGTGCCCGGCAGATCCTGAGGAGCCAGGGATCCTAGTTTGAGATCCTCCTTGCACCAGCAACATTGCACAGACTCATGGAAAGGCATTGAAAAGCCTCTACCTTACGTCTCCTATGTAAGCATTTCAATAAAGTCATGGAGATACTTTCACCTGCTTCCAAAAAGCCTGTA